TATAATATATATATATGCATATATATACATAATATATATATATATGCATATATATATATATGAAAATAAATATACACATACACACACATACACATGTATATATAAGCATCCTACATATCCTATATAAGCATCATTCCTATTAGGTTGCAAGTTCCCTAAGGAGCTCTGCCCACCATGGCAGAATTCTTTAAGGACTTCTGCCCACTGTATAGCGTAACAATAAATCTTTGCCACCTTGACTTAAAGAATGCTTGAGTCTATGAATTCATTCCAGATGACCCTGTCTGGTCTTTGAGGGGTCTCTAAACCTCTCAGACCTTAACAACATGACATCAAAGCAATAAATGTATTAATATCTTGAAATAATAAGAAACTTTAGTCCAGATAGAATCATGGATTTAGAGCTGGAAGGGACCTTGGAGGCCATGTTGTAACCCCCTCATTTTACAGATGAGAAAACTGAAGCAAAGAAAGGTTAAGTAACTTGGCCAAGGTCACACAGGTAGCAACAGAGTGGGGATTTGATAGTATCAGTTTTCAAAAAACGAAACAAAACAACCCCAAAAGCAAGCAAGCAAACAAACAAACAAAACCTAACCCTGGTCCTGATCCTGGCTTGTTTCTAGAGGAACAATCTTTTTTACCCCCAGGATATGCAGAAGTTGACTCAACTAAGTGTTTGGACAAATCTTGAGTTAAAAAAGCAAGTGACTGGCAGCCATCCTAGCACTTTTGAGGTTTTAAATGCATCCCACAGATTTTTTTTTTGTGGCAGTCCCAAGGTAATTTGGGATGACAGTTTCTGCTTATCTTTTTTCTCTAAAAAAAATCCACTGGGAAAATGCACATATTCTTGGCAGGATTAATGGAAATGGTGGCTGGGAGTGGGGATGGTTCCTTACTATTTTCCTTTTCTTCTTCTTTCCACACTGTTCCTTTACAACTTTTTACAACTTAATGAATTGAACACCAGCACTGAACCCTATTTCCAGATGTTTTCTTTGGTGGTAGATAGAATTCCTATCCCAGGTAGTTGTGGCGGCATCCCATGTTCCAAAGCTTTAACTTAACTGGGAACTGGATAGACACAGGTAGGATGTGGTTGCTCCTCTTCTGTTGTGTTGTGACCCTATGAACCATAGCACAGTCCCTTCTATTCTCCACTGTCTCTTGAAGTCTATCAAAGTTCACGTTTGTTGTTTCTATAACATTATCTATTCATCTTATCCTCAGCCATCCTCTTTTCCTTTTGCCTTCAATCTTTCCCAGCATAAGGGTCTTTTCCAATGAGTCCTGTCTTTTCATTACGTGGCCAAAGCATTTAAGCTTTGGCTTAAACTCAGTAGTTGACCTTCTAGTGAAGAACCTGAGTTAATTTCTTTAGTATTGATTGATTTGATCTCCCTGCAAAAGTCTTCTCCAATACCACAATTTGAAAGTGGCTGTTCTGCAGCACTCAGTTTTCTTTATACTCCAACTCTCACATCCATACATTGCTACTGGAAAAAACATCCTTTTGATGATATGGACCTTTGTCAGCAAGATGTCATCCATACTTTTTAGTCTGCTGTCCAGATTTGCCATAGCTTTCCTTCCAAGGAGCAAATGTCTTTTAATTTCATGTCTGCAGTTGTGGTCTGTGGTGATCTCTGAGCCCACTAATATAAAATCTGACATTGTTTCCATTTCTTCTTCCTTTTTGCCAAGATGTGATAGGACCATTTGCCAAAATCTTAGTTTTTTTTGATATTAAGCTTCAAGCCAGCTTTAACACTCTCTTCTTTCACCCTCATCAAGAAGTTTCTTAATTCTTTACTTTCTGCCATCAGAGTGGTATTGTCTACATATCTGAGATTGCAGATATTTCTCCTGGCAACCTTAATTCTAGCTTTTGATTTATTCAGCCTGGCATTTTACATGATGAACTCTGTATATAAGTTAAATAAATAAGGGGACAATATTCAACATCGTACTCCTTTTCCATTCTTAAACCAATCAATTGTTCAATGTTTGGTTCTAACTGTCACTTCTTCACCTGTACACAGGTTCCTCAGGAGATAAGTAAGATGATCTGGTACATTTTGTTGTGATCCACATAGTCAAAGGCTTTAATGTAGTCAATGAAGCAGAAGTAGATGTTTTTCTGGAACTCCCTTGCTTTCTCTGTAATCCAATGGATGTTGACAATTTGGTCTCTAGTTTCTCTGACTCTTCGAAAACCAGCCTGCTCTTCTGCTAATTCTCAGTTCACACAGTGCTGAAGCCTAGCTGACAGAATCTTAAGCATAACCTTACTAGTGTGTGAAGCGAGCACAATTTATTGGTAATTTGAACATTCCTTGTCATTGCCTTTCCTTAGGTTTGGGAAATAAACTGATCTTTTCCTACCTAGAGGCCACTGTTGTGCTTTCCAAATTGCTTGCATATTAAATGCAGCACTTCAACAGCATCATCATTTAGGATTTTAAATAGCTCAACTGGAGTTCCATCATGTCCATTAGCCTTATTGTTGGCAATGCTTCCTAAGGCACACTTGACTTCATTCTCCAGTCAGGATGTCTGACTCTAGATCAATAACCACACCATCTTGGTTATCTGTGATGCTAAGATCTTTCTTGTGTAGTTCTCCTGTGTTATTCTTGCAACTTCTTAATCTCTTCTGCTTTTGTTAAATTCCTACCATTTTCGTCTTTTATCATGTCCATTTTTGTAAGAAATGTTCCCTTGATATCTCTAATTTTCTTGAAGAAATCTTTTGTCTTTTCTATTCTATTGTTTTCTTCTATTTCTTTGCATTGCTCACTTAAGAAAATTTATATCCTTGCTGTTCTCTGGAATTTTGCATTCATTTGGGTATATCTTTCCCTCTCCCTTTTCTTCTTTCTTCAGCTATTTGTAAAGTCTCATCAGACAGCCATTTTGCTTTCTTACTCTTCTTTTTCTTTGGAATGTTTTTTGTTGCTGCTTCCTATACAATATTGTGAACCACTGTCTGTAGTTCTTTAGACACTCTATCTATTGGATCTAATCCCGTAAGACTATTTATCACCTCCACTTCATGTTCATAAACTTTTACTTATATGCTCTTATATAGTTTCCCCTACTTTCTTCAATTTAAGTCTGAATTTGCAATAAGAATCTCATGATCTGATCTGTAGTCTGCTGCCTTGTCATGGCAGAGGGGCTTTCATCACTCAGTGAAACTATGAGCTATGCTGTGCAAGATTACCCAAGACAGACATGTCGTAGTGGAAAGTTCTGACAAAAGGTGATCCATTAGAGAAGGAAATGGCAAACTACTCCAGTGTGTTTGACAAGAAAATACCATAGACAGTACTAAAATTATGAAAGAGATGACATTGGAAGATGAACCCCTCAGGTCAGAATGTGTCCAACATACTCCTGGGGAAGAGCAGAGGATAACTACAAGTAGCTCCAGTACTAATAAAGTGGGCCAAGGCTGAAAGGAAGCTCAGCTGTGGATGTGCCCAGTGACAAAAGGAAAGTCTGATGCTGTAAAGGTCAATGTGGCATAGAATACTGGAATGTAATATTGATGAACCAAGGTAAGCTGGATGTGGTCAAGATGGAGGAGATGGAAGGATTAAGCATCTTGGGTGTCAATGAACTGAAGTGTATGGGAATGGGTGAATTTAATTAAGATGTCACTACATATATGACTGGTCAAGAATACCTTAGGAGAAATGGAATAGCCCTCATAGTCAACAAAAGGGTAAAAAGAACAGTACTGAGGTATGGTCTCAAAAATAACCAAATGATATCTGCTCGAATCCAAGACAAACCCTTCAACATCATAATTCTATACAAGTAATACAAGTCTATGGTCCAACCACTGATGCCCAAGAGGCCAAAGTTGATCAGTTCTATGAAAACCTGCAACATCTAGAAATAATACCAAAAAAAAAATATGTCACATTCATCATAGGAGACTGGAATGCTAAAGAAGGAAGTTGAAAGATAATCAGAATTGGCTTTGGAGGCAAGTTTGGCCTTGGAGTTCAAAATGAAGCCGGGCAGAGACTAACAGAGTTTTGTCAAGACAGCTCAATGGTCATAACAAACACTCTTTTGTCAACAACGGGAAAGGTAATTCTACACACAGATATCACCAACTGGTCAATAAAGACATCAGATTGATTGTATACTTTGCAGCCAAAGGTGAAGAAGCTCTATATGGTGAGTTAAAACAAGACATGGAGCTGACTATAGATCAGATCATTAGCTTCTTAACACAAAATTCAGGGTGGGGACAGATTTCTATGCAATCCCTCTGCTTTCTCTATATCAATCCTTTAGGATCCCAAACCCAAAAGTATTATCACAAGTACAATCAAAGCAGGCAAGAACCGAAGGTAAACTATCGCCACCTATATTTCATTTCCCCTTTTTTGCCCTTCCTTAGGAGTCTCCTTTCCTATAAAAAGACTGACCCCACCCCAAAGTCAAAGTCAAAACTAATCCCTGGAGGAAGTCTCCGCAGCTGCCTTACACTTCATTTTACATTTCTGAAGCTCCTATTGCCTGCAATGCACTGAGCCAGGCATCGGAATGTGTGCTGTCCTGTAGGCTGATAGGGACCCAGAAAGGGGCACCGCTAAACAGACCGTAGGTGGCCCAAGTCAGGATGCTCAGGAGAGGCATGAGCTTGGGGACTTGCAGTTCCCTGCCGGTGCACCGCCCTGCGCCCCCACACAATGTCAATACTAGTCTCCCAGTTCCGTCCTGCCCCACTCTCGGGAGCTGCACTACAGAACTGCCCTCCGCGGAGAAACGGGCGCAGGACTTTAGTCGCCTCTTACTCCCTGCGTTCTAACTGCGCCCCGAAAATGTGCCCCTGCAGGGCCCTCCTGGCCCCCGCCGACTCCGAGCCATAGCCAGAAGAGCAGAGCTTCCCATCCAGGACGCTCACCTCCGTGCACGGCGGCTAAGAGAGCGCTACTGCCTGCTCTCCGCTGTCCCCGTGCGGGTGCAGCTGCCGCGCGAACAGACGGCTCGGGCCCGTCTGGATCCGACGCCCGAGCCGCCACCGCCGCCGTCCTCGGCTGGGCCGGGCGGGGGCCAAAGCCTTGGCAGGGCCGAGGAGGTCAGGTTGGGAACCCGGCTGGTGGCCGGAGGAGGCTTTTCCCAGGTCCCCCAGGGTGTCCCCCCGACTGCCTCTGGGCGCGATGCTCCGGTGGGTGCGTGGCTTCGTGCTAACCGCCAGCAGCGACAACGAAGACGAAGAGTCCAACCGCCGCTATGAACACCTCTTTCGGCAGCTGGACCACGACGGCGACGGAAAAGTGGACATCGTCGAGCTGCAGGAGGGTCTCGGGAAGTTGGACTTCTCTATAGGCAAAGACGCGCAAAAGGTGGGCAGCCCCGAACACGCGTAAAGGGAACGGGACAGACGTGGGCAAAACCAAATCCTTTCCCCCAATATCTAGCGAAAGACCCATAGCTAAATTGAATTTCTTTAATTAATTTAAGTAAGAAAAACACCTTTTCCCCATCCTCATTCTTGTATTAATTTGATGAATGAAAAATAACGAAAATCTGACCTATGACCTCCTTTCCAACTTAATCATGATCTTATGATTGAGTGAGGAAAAGTGGAAAGATTTCATTCTGGGAATCCCTATAGAGTGTGTCACCTGTGGTTGACAGTGTTGACAGACTGTAACCTTCTCTGAGTGTGTTTCAGAAACTGTGAGGCCCTAGGAGAGGGGCTTCTTCAAAGTACTGACCATTGTTTTCAGGAAACCTCTCTAGATACCTAGCAGCCTAAATGTGTCTTCACGGCTGCTGCTTGCTGAGAACTCATAGGTGTAGAATTGAGGCCCTAGATAAATGGCTTCCTAATGGGTTTGGAGTTAGAGGACCTGAGTTTGAATCCTTGTGGTACCACTTATTATTTATTCCCTGGGTGATCTTGGATAAGTGACAGCCTCTCTCTGGGCCTCCTTTTCCTTTTCTGTAAATGAGACGGTTGGAAGAGATGAAAGATCCAAATATAAAACTATGAGCCTAGGATTTAATTTTGGAAAATAATTGAGCCTTTAAGGCTCTGGTGTACAAATACCATCAAGAGTTCTGTGCAATTTAATAAACATTTGTTAAGCAACTGTTCTATGAAGAGCACTATGCTGTTTCCTGGATAAAAGATAAAAAAATGGTAAGAGATTCCTACTCTCATGGAACTTACAGGTAGGGGAAAAGACACATAGAACAAATAACTATAATACAAAGTGATGCATGGTGAGCACATAGATGTGCCAGCAACGTGATATATGGGGAGTGTGGGTGGAAAGGTACGGTGATAGGTTAAGGTTTCTTGGAGAAGGTGTCATTTGAGAGGACTGGAGACTGGGGGATGTGTGTGGCCTAGAGGAAACCTCTTAATAGAGCTTACATAGCACCAGCTAAAGGGGATGGTAAAAGATGTGTGTAGTTCCCCTGGCATCTGAATCCATTATATTTCTCACATTCTACTCTTCTTCCATCCTTATGACTCTTTTTCCCCTTTCTTCTTCAAATGCCTTTTGGCATTTATTTAATTAAATTCAATAATCATTTATTAAGTGCTTACTGTGAACAAGGTACATGGGGATACAACTACCAAAACTGTAACCTCCTGGAATTGTTGTGAGAATTAAATGAGATAATAATTGTAAAGCACTTAGCACAGTGCTTGACACATAGTAAAATGCTGTATTATTTCTATTTATTATATGCATGAACCATATTTTCCAACTTATTTTTTTGCTGTCCTCTTCATACCTTTGCTTTAAACTTCTTTAGTATTAAACTATGAATGTTTTTGTAGAGATGTGTTTAAAATTAAAAAAAAATATATTGTTTGGGTAAAGTCCTCACAATGGATTTGCTGGATTGAAAGGCATGAAAAGTTGTATTAGTCACTATATATTGCTATATTGCCCTCCAAAATGTTTGCACTAGTCTTGTTGTAATAGGGTGCCTGCTTCCTCATAGTTTTACCCATATTAGATTTTTATAAATTTTTTGTATTTTTCTATAAGTACATATCCTCAGGTTGTCTTTACGTGCATATCTTGGATTATTGAGGAGTTTGATCTTTTAGCAACAATTTGCATTTTCTTGTTCCTAAATTGCCCATTTGTATCATTTGACCCTTGTTCCATTGGAGAATATATATTTACATCAGTTCCTTCTAGAATCTTATGCATTTAATACATATTTTTATATTGTGAAAGCAAATATTTTCCCAATCTGTTTCTTTTCTTTTAACTTTAGGGATATTGCTCTTTGTTTTACAAAGTCTTCCTATTCTCATATAACCAAACCCTTTTATTTTGTGTTCAGTAAGTTCTATTTGTCTGATAAAAGTCCCTCCTCTAGCTAGGTAAGAAAAATATTTTTTCTTCCATTTTTTAATGAATTAAAAAATTTAAATTGTGGATCCAGTTAATTGATTATGGTATATGGCATAAGATATGTGTTTAAACTGATTTTTTTTGGCTGTATTGCCATCCATTTTTTTCAAAAAAATTTTTTTTGAATGGTGATTCTATTCCTAATGTTTTTAAAATGTGGGCTTATCAAGCATCATTTTTTTTTATATTCATTGGGTTCTATTTCTTGGTCCTATTATGTTTCCTTGAGTCTCCATTCTTTCCCGTCTTAGACATTTTAAAAATAAATATTGATTTGTAATGTTTTGATATCTAGTATTGTTAGCCCCACTTTGCTGTTTTTCTTTTTTACTCTTCTGTCCTTATGAAAATCACAGATTGAGTTTTTATCAGTATTTTACCATACGACATTTTTAATGATTTTATCTAATTCAGTGAAATCACTTATTGGTATTTTGCATGGTATTACATTAAATCTGTAATTTGGTTTGGGATATATTTACTGCTTCTTGCTATTTTTACCTGACTTGCACTGGGAATATCTTGCTATTTAATCAGTTCTTCCTTGATTTCTGTTAAGGAAGTTGTTTTTTGTACAAGTTTCTTGTATGCCTCAAGTCAATATTTGGTGCATTTTTTTGATATTGTAAAGGCTATTTTTCTTGCCATTACTTTCTTGTTATTCTTAATGCTGGAATATAGTACAGATAATTGGGGAGGGGAATTATCTTATGTCTAATTTCTTTAGTAAAATCATTGATCATCATTAATTTTCGTTGTTGTTGACTCCATTTTTTAGATATGTGATCATGTTGTATGAAAAACAGATATTTTGACTTTGATAATAATTAATTTTTAAAATTTCTTTTCATGCCTTATTGATGACTTCTAAAACAATAATAAATACAAATGGCAAGTGAAAACTTCTCTTTTTAATAGGTGTGCTTCAGTGTTTTTCCATTTTCTATGATACCAGAACATCACTTTGAAATATTAAAATTATGGAAATCTTCATTTGGTTTGTCCCTTTGCCACATCGGGCAGATTCCCTTTAATCTGTCCAACTTTCTACATTTCATACCATTTCACACTTGATCTGCACTGTAGCCACACACAATTTTATTATACCAAGAAAATGAATAAAACATCTGTTTAGAGAGACTCTGCGGAAGGTTCAGCTTAAGCGCTTTCCACCAATTCTCTTGGCCATTTCCCAAAACAGAAGATCAGCTCCTGTTGTCCTTTATGTCTTCCTTGGGTAATGAATGGATTAATGGCAAGAGTTATCTGTCTTGGACCCCTTTTTTAGGGGCTTGGGGCCTTAATGAATAGGGGCAAGGAAACAATGTAGGAGGTGGAAGTTTGTCCTTCTGTCTTCCCTCTTTTTCTTTTTTTTTTGTGTTTAATTAATTAATTAATTATTTTTTTTGGGTTACATTTTGTTTTGAACTGTCTCCCTCCCTCTTTCGCCACCCTACACTAGAAGGCCACCATTCGATGTATGCACACACACAGAAAACCATACTACACATACTTCTATTTATTAGTTCTTTCTCTGGAGGTAGATAGCATCTTCCTTCATAGATCCGTTGTAGTCGATTTCAGTATTTATAATACTTAGAATAACCTATTCATTCATACTTATTCTTTGAACAATATTGCTGTTACTATATATGTATGTGTATGTGTGTGTATACATATATATGTATATAAAATATATATATATATATGATGTTCTCTTGGTTCTGCTCATTTCACTCTTCATGTCTTCCCTCTCTTTGAACAGCTGATAAGGTTTTCAAAAGTTGTTAGCTCACAACTTGTCTATATCCTACCTTTCCAGCCTTATTGTTTTTGTTATTGAGTTGTTTCAGTTGTGTCCAACTTTTCCTGACCCCATTGGGGGTTTTCTTGGCCATTTCCTTCTCCAGCTCATTTTGCAGATGAGGAAACTGAGGCAAACAGGGTTGAGTGATTTGCCTAGGGTCACACAGTCAGTAAGTATCCAAGGCTAGACTTGAACTCAGGAAGATGAGTCTTTCTGATATCAGATCTGTTACTCTATCTATTGTGCCCCCTAGCTTCAAAGCACACTGTAGTTCAGGAAAACAAGACTTTTTACTAGTTCTCAAACATGACGCTATGCCTCTTGCCTTCATTCCTTTGTGCTGGCTGTTTCCTATGTATGTATATATTTTGTATATTCCTATGCATATGCACTTATTACCTTCCCCTACTGGACTCTAAGCTCCTTGGGGCAGGTAGATATTATTTTCTGTCTTTCTATTCCCAGCACAAGGCCTGGTATACAGCAGGAATTTAATAAATGTTATTGATTGATCTCCATTCCATGCTGGCCAGGGCTGTGGAGTTCAGCTAGAGAGATCTCTGGTAATTTGCAGTAGTATTTCTTTTAGGGCATTCATGGGAGCCAGAAAATGGGGAGGCTGCTAGCATATCTCATATAAACTGGCCTATACTTGGTGGTGAGAGTATTTGCAGAGAGGGTCAGTGGTGTTAAGGCTGGGGAAAGACTGGTTGAAGCTGTACCTTGTAAAGAAGACTCATTCTGCCTACATGTGGGAATGTTCATGGCTATCTGTCATTTTGAGGGATATACAGTGCTGAAACCTGTGGTCAGATCTAGGTTAGCATTTGCTTATCTGAATCACTTCTGATTTCCTGTTTCCTAAAGAACATGGGTGCCCACTCGTGGACATTGGGCATTTGTTAACAGAAAACCTAATCAGACCTAATCAGAAACCTGTATTCAATCAGTCAGTAAAACAATCCCTATTCTCAGGAAGCCTCCATTCTGTGTAGAGGCAACATATCTGTATTATTCAGAATAAATTCAAAGTAGTTGGGGGGGAGGGGAGAAGCTTTGTGTAGAAGGTGGTACTTGAGCTGCCTCTTGAAGGTGGAGAGATTTGTTTCCAAGAGATAATGAATTTGGTCTCTCAAGCCTCCTTGGCGAAGAAACTGGAGTGGTTTGCCATTTCCTTCTCCAGATGAGGAACTGAGGCAAACACGGTTAAATGGCTTGCCCAGGGTCACACAGCTAGTAAGTGTCTGAGGCTGAATTTGAACTCATGAGGATGAGACTTCCTGATTCCAAGCTTAGTGCTCTATCCACTGTGCCGCCTAACTACCTATCTCTGCACTGTAAGTCATCTTTACTTCCCGCTTCCTCTACAACAAGCCACATTTTGCAGCTTTCAAAGGAAATAGAAAAAAATTCCTTAAATGAGTAAGGCATAAGAGAAGGATAAAAAGAAAAAAAGTTCCTCTCTTATGGGGGAAACACAAATGACAAATGGGTTGAAAAAGGCAGAAGCTTTTAAATTCCATTTCCTCATCATCGATCCTTGCAATAAAGATAATGCAGATGTGGTCTGAAAATGGCAATGAGTGACATTGAAGTTTGGAGGGCAATGACTTCATCAGGAAACAGATTACTGACACAGACTACTTAAACCAATGTGTTTGAAACCATAAGAACTGATGGTTTTTATCTTTAGAATATTAAAAAAAGATTTGGTCAAAATCATCAGAATCACTTGAAGTTTTGAGAATTTATGCCTCTTTAACTTTCTTAGGTTGAAGGTGGTAAATACCAAAGTAGGGACTGTGTATGCATTTTTTTTGGGGGGGTGGTGAGGCAGTTGGGGTTAAATAACTTGCCCAGGCTCATACAGCTAGTGAGTGTTATGTGTCTGAGGTCAAATTTGAACTCAGGTCCTCCTGACTCCAGGGCCGGTGCTCTACCCATGTCGCCACCTAGCTGCCTTATGTGTATGCATTTTTAAAAGAATGTTCTTAGCCTTAATTTATATGTGCTCACAATAAGCTGGTAGGAAGGGGAGGGAAAAAGAATTTATATAGCACTTACTATATGCCAGGCACCGTGCTAACTCCTTTTATGAATATTATTTCATTTGATCCCCTCGACAACTCTGGGAGGTAGGTGTTATTTTATAGTTTATAGTTGAGGAATTTACAGTTGAGGAAACTGAGGCAAATGAGGTCAAGTGACTTGCCCAGAATCACACAGTAATTGTCTGAGGCTAGATTTGAACTACTCCTAACTCCAGGCCTAGCACTCTATTCACTGCATCACTCGCTGTCTCTAGAAAGAGGGTAAAAAAAATGAGAATCCTATCTCCACAACACTTTCTTTTCTTGTAAAATCAGATGTATGTGAGTTTGTAAAAGGAAATTGATCTAATTTTGAAGAGTAGGTTTTTATATATACGTAGAGAAGAGGAAACAGGTGAACAGCGTGTATCTGATAATAAGGAAAGGCATTAGGTAAAGGGTTTAAAGATAACGTAGACAGCCAGGGATGGTTCTAACAGGCAAGTTAGTTAAAACTTGGTCTTGATAAGGGTGAACCAAGGTGGGATAGAAAGAGCAAGTCATTTTGGCTTGCTTTGTCATTTCAATTCAATAATATTTTTTTAAGTGTGCCTTCTATTGGAAATTATTCTGCTAGGCATTGGAGATTCGAAGATAAATGATGGTGCAGTTTCCTGTCTCACGGAGTTTTAATCTAGTAAGGGAAGAAAAGACATATACATCTATATGTATATATATGTAGTTTAACTACAAATTAGAATATATTAAATTCACAGAGGAGACTATGAACTATTTGAAGAGAGGAGGATCAGGGAAAGCTTTAATGATGATAGCTGGTGTGAAGAAAGAGAAAAATTTCAACAAAATTTGAATTTATTGGGGAAATTCATTCTAGTCATGCTTTTGTTTGGCCATGGTCAACTCTTCATGACTCCATCAGGAATTTTCTTGGTGAAGATACTGGTGTGGTTTGCCATTTCCTTCTCCAGCCCATTTTATAGATGGGGAGACAGAGGCAAACAGGGTTAACTGACTTGCCCAGGGTCACACAGCTAGTAAGTATCTGAGGCCAGATTTGAACTCAGGAAGAGGTGACTCTAGGCCTGGTAGTCTATCCGCTGCACCACCTACTGCTCTTATTCTAGTCATTGGGGGTCACTTATACAGATTCATGGAAGTAGAAACAGGCAGAATGAGTCTTCTAGTTTTCTCTAGGAGGTAGAGACTTGTGACTTTGCTTCAGAGTGCTACTTTTGCTAATTAATGTGGCATTAAGGCAGCCTACGGTAAACTGGGAAAGTCATACTTTGGAGGCTTTGTCTAGTTTATTATTTGTGCTAAGTGTATTCCAAGTCTATGCAGCCAATCTGTACGTAGAAGGACCATGATACGTAGTTGAAAAGTAAAAAGTTGGTAGAATTCAAAATGACCTTAGTAAGTTTCCTTTTCATTCTTATCTGGCTGACTTAAATTTAACAAGAATTTATTATATCAACTATGTGGAGGACATTGTGTTATTTTCTGAGGGTATAAGGACAAAAACCCCAATATAGGCCCTGTGCTCAAGGGGTTTCTGTTCCTCAGAAGCATATATGAGTAGTGGGTAATTAGATATGTAAACAGATATATGAGTACTCCAAGGTCAGTGCTTTTTCCACTATACCATACTGCCTTTTCTCTTAATTCTGTAAAATAAATAGGATGATTTGGGGATGGTATCTACATTTTGCAAAGAGGTGCATAGCCAGCAGAATGAAAACTCTGACATGCTTGGGCATCAGTTAGAAATTTCCCTGGTTTTAACACTTTTAATGTACATGTCAGAGAGCTGAAGGTATGACTATAGTAACATTTGAAAACTTGCCTTTTATTATGGAAGTCTTTGCTTCATAGTTTCAATAAAGAATTCATCCCAAAACCCAGGTTTGTTTGCATCTAGTATAATGGCAATTTTTGCAGTGTTTTGTAAAATTCAGAAACTGTGGAACATTAAGTGAGAGATGGGTCTTAGGTGATCTTTAAAGTCCCTTTTCATTCTAAAACAGAGGTGTCAAACATGGGGTGTATGGTGTGACCCATAACACTCTTGAGTGCCTAAGGTGAAATGTAGTGAAAATGTATTTGGGAAAACTTTAACAAAATAAGCAAAAAGACAATAAAACATAGATAATATTAACATGTAGATTTCTATGTCATTGTGCAGCCTGCAGAGGCCCTTATGTGGGATTTAGCAGCCCCTGTTCCTATTTGAGTTTGATACCACTGTACTGGAAGTCTGTAATTTTCATGTCTTTTCTTGATTTAGCCATGGACTGACAAAACCGATTTATTTAATAGGATCAGTGCAGCTATACAATAGGTCTGAAGAATTTCTCTCTAATGGTTTTCTTCTTTCTTGTAGGATCTTTTAAGGGCTGGTGATACTAACAAGGATAATCAGCTAGACTTTGAAGAGTTTATGCAGTACCTTAAAGACCATGAGAAAAAGATGAAGCTGGCTTTTACTAGTCTGGACAAAAATCACAATGGTGAATTTCATTTTTTCCATTTGCAACTGGCTTAAAATGCACACACACACACACACACACACACACACACACACACACACACCCACACACACCCCATTTCGTTGTCTAATATGAAAGCTTTTAGCTTTCTTCTTCCTCCAGAGATTAGAATTAATCATCCATCCATCCATCCATCACGAACCATTTAGGTACCTTCTCTATGCCAAATATGGTGCTGGGTACTAGAGATACAAAACCAAAAGTGAACCAGTCCCTGTACTCGTTCCGTCAGGGAAAGGAGACAAGTTTATGGATGTATATCTAAAAGGCATGCAAAATAAATATAAAGTAATTTTTTTTTGTAGGGGCAGGGGATGGAGGAGTGAAGGCTAAAGGCATTAGCCACTGGGGAATTCAGAAAGGCTTCATGTAGTAGGTGATTGAGCTGATTTGGAAACAAAGAATTCAAAGAGTCAGAGGTGAGGAGGGGGTGCCTTCCAGGCACTGAGGACAGCCAATGCAAAGGTGGGAGATAGAATGTCATGGATGAAGAACAGCAAGAAAGACAGTTTGGCTGGCCTATAGAATGTGGAAAGGGGAGTAATGGGGATAATGCTGGAAATACAGGTTAGGGCTGACTTTTGAAGGGCTTTAAATGTCTATTAAAAGAATTTATATTTTATCCTAGGGGTAACTGGAGTTTATTGAGCAGTTGCTTTAAGAAAATCACTGGTGGCTGTGTGGAAGATGGATTAGAGATAGGACAGACAAAATAGGGAGACCATGGCAGTAGTATAGATGAAACGTAGCCGTGTGAGTAGAAAAAATGGGACTGATAGGCAAGGTGATGTGTAGGCGGAAATGAGAATATTTGGCAACCAATTAGATACATGGAGTGAAAGAGAGAGAGAGAGAAGAGTCAGGGACTAAACCAACGATGTTAAAATGAATGATTAGGAGGATGATGATGCTCCAAGAGAAATAAGACATTTTAGGAAGAGGGGTATGTAATGGGCCCAATTATGGGTAGATTGGGGGGAAATGACAAGGAGGAAAGTTTTTTCTTTTTTAAATTTTTAAAATTTAAAAAAATTTTTAATATAAATTTATTTATTTTTAGTTTTCAATATTCACTTCCACAAGTTTTTGAGTTCCAAATTTTCACCCCATCTCACCCCTTCCCCCACCCCAAGATGGCATGCGTTCTGAATATATCTTCCACTAGTCTGTCCTCTCTTCTATCTCTCCCCCCTTCTCTTATCCCCTTCCCCTTCTATTTTCCCGTAGGGCAGGATAGACTTCTGTGCCCCATTTCCTGTATTTCTTATTTCCCAGTATCATGTGAAAACATTTTTTTTTAACATATATTTTTTAAACTTTAGGTTTCAAATTTTCTCTCTTCCTCCCTCCCCCCCACCCTCATTGAAAAGACAAGCAACTCAATATAGGTTGTACATGTGCAGTTATGCAAGATACTTCCGTAGTAGACATGTTGTGAAAAACTAACTCTATTTCCCTTAATCCTATCCTGCCCTCCCATTTATTCTATTCTTTCTTTTGACCCTGTCCCTCCTCAGAAGTATTTACTTCTGACTACCCCCTTTCCCAATCTGCCCTCCTCTTTATCATCCCCCTGCTCTCTTGTCCCCTTCTCCCCCTATTTTCCTGTAGGGTAAGACAGATTTCCATACCCAATTGAATGTGTAAGTTATCCCCAAGGAGGGTTATTTGGAGATTCACAATAGGAGCTCAGGGAAGACATTGGTGCTTCATGTATAGATCTAGGAGTCATCTGCATAGAGATGATAATTAAGTCCATGTGATGGGCCGGGATAGAGCCTTAGGATACGTCCACAGTAAGGGTGTATGTTATGGAGAAGGAACCCCCAAAGGAGCCTGATGGTAGTGATCAGACTGGTAGGAGGAGAATCAAGAAAGCACAGCGTCATGAAAATCTGAAGAGGAGATGGTATCCAGGTGGAGGAGATAATCAACATTATCAAATACTGTAGAAAGGTTAAAAAGGATAGGAGGTTGTGAAAAGGGCATTTTTTTGTAAATAGTATTTTATTTTTTCCAATTATATGTAAAGATAGTTTTCAACATTCATTTTTAAAATAAGATTTTGAATTCCATTTTTTTCTCTCTCCCTCCCTTGTATTCCCCCCTCCCCAAGATGGCAAGCAATCTGATATAAGTTATATATGTACAATCATGTAAACATATTTCCACATTAGTCATGTTGTGAAAGAAGAAACAGGGGGCAGCTAGGTGGCGCAGTGAATAGAGCACCGGCCCTGGATTCAGGAGGACCTGAGTTCAAATCCGGCCTCAGACATATAACACTTACTAGCTGTGTGACCCTGGGCAAGTCACTTAACCCCATTGCTTAGCCAAGAAGAAGAAGAAGAAGAAGAAGAAGAAGAAGAAGAAGAAGAAGAAGAAGAAACAGAATAGAAAGGAAAAGCTATAAAAACAAAAAAAAAGAGAAAATAGTATGCTTCGATCTGCATTCAGACTGTAGTTCTTTCTCTGGATGTGGATAGCATTTTCTGTCATGAGTCTTTTGGAACTGTCTTGGATCATTGTCTTGATCAAAATAACTAAGTCTTTCACAGTTGATCATCCTCACAATATTGCTGTTACTGTGTTCTCCTCGTTCTGCTCACTTCACTCTGCATGAGTTCCTGTAGGCCTTCCCAGGTTTTTTCTGAAACTGTCCTGCTTGTCATTTCTTATAGCACAATAGTATTCCATTACATTTATATACCACAACTTGTCCAGCCATTCTCCAATTGATGGACATCCCCTCATTTCCAATTCTTTGCCACCACTAAAACAGCTGCTATAAATATTTCTGCATGCGTGAGTCCTTTTCCCTTTTTTATGATCTCTTTGGGATACAGCCCTCATAGTTGTATTGCTGAATCAAAGGGTATGCACAGTTTTATAACCCTTTGGACATACTTCCAAATTGCTCTCCAGAATGGTTGGATCCACCAACAGTGCATTAATGTTCCAGTTTTCCCACATCTTCTCCAACATTTGTCATTTTCCTTTTTTGTCATATTAGCCAATCTGATAAGTGTGAGGTGGTACCTCACAGTTGTTTTAATTTGTATTTCTCTAGTCAATAGTGACTTAGAGCATTTTTTCATATGACTATAGATAGCTTTAATTTCTTCATCTGAAAACTGCCTGTTCATATCCTATGACCATTTATCAATTGGGGAATGACTTGTATTCTTATAAATTTGACTCAGTTCTCTATATATTTGAGAAATGAGGCCTTTGTCAGAAACACTTGCTGTAAAAATTGTTTCCCATCTTTCTGTTTTCCTTCTAATCTTGGTTGTTTTGGCTTTGTTTGTGCAACACCTTTTTAATTTAATGTAATCAAAGTTATCCATTTTGCATTTCATGATGTTCTTTATCTCTTGTTTGGTCATAAATTCTTCTCTTCCCCATAGATCTGACAAGTAAACTATTCATTGCTCTCCTAATTTGCATATAGTATCACCTTTTATGTCTAAATCATTTACTCATTTTGACCTCATCTTAGCATACAGTGTGAGATGTTGGTCTATGCCTAGTTTCTGCCATGCTATTTTCCAGTTTTCCCAGCAGTTTTTTTTTTTCCAGAGAGTAAGTTCCTATCTCAGAAGCTGGAGTCTTTGGGGTTTATCAAACAGTAGATTCCTGTAGTCATTTACTACTGTATCTTGTGTACCTAATCTATTCCACTGATCCACCACTCTATTTCTTGACCAGTACCAAGTAGTTTTGATGATTGCTACTTTAAAACTGTACTGTTACAGTTTTAGATCTGGTATGGCTAGGCCACTTTCCTTTGTACTTTTTCCATTAATCCCCTTGATATTCTTGACCAAAAAGGGCATTATTTTTGCCAAGAGATCATGGGTAACTTTGGAAAGAATAGTTTCAATTGAATAATAAGGTTGGAAACCAGACTGCAAAGGACTGAGAGAAGTGAATGAAAAGAGAATGTGACAGGGAATGTAGACTGCTTTTTAAAGAAACTTGGCAGAGAAAAGTAGGAGAAATGTCAGAGTATTACTTGAGTTAATGGTACAGTCAAGTAAGGGTTTTTCTCTTTTTAAGTTTTTTTTTTAATTAACAACCATTTATTTTCTCTCCCACATTCTACAGTTCCCAGTTGCACTATGACAAAAAAAAGAAAAATAAAACACTCATAACAAATATTTATAGTCAAAAGCATACTCTTGTATTGTGCCAGAGTGCCTATTCTAAACATGCCTATCTATCCTGCATGTTTCATCCATCACCTACCTTGGTTCATCTTTGGTCCTCTGGAATTGTGATTTGTCATTGCATAGATCAGAAGCCTCAAGTCTTTCAGGGTTATTTTTCCTTTTCAAAAAATTAATTTTTTCTGGAACATAAGAAACACCAAGTGGAATAGACATTTGCATATCCATGGTATAACAGAACAAGAGGGTGGTACATTAAATTGCTTACACTTCATGTTTTTTTTAAAGTATATAATAAGATCAGTCTGTAGCTTTCAAAGATATCCTGCTTGCCTGGCCTTATTTCTGGCCTTCCATTTGTTCTTGTCTCTCCACTAAAAAAAAAAAGATGCCTCTGCCTCAATGACTCTTTTCTTTTGCTGCTTTATCCTTGTCTCCCTTTGCCTTCCCACCTGTTCTCCTATTGGAAAGAAAAAACACAAAAAAGAAAAAAAAACAAATCCCTTGTAGTAATTATACATAAGCAAGCAAAACAAAATCCCATATTATCTATCTGAAAATGTATCTCATTATGCATTTTGAGTTCATTACCTTTCCATTAGGAGATGTGTAGCACGTTGAATTGTTCAGATTTCTTAAGTCTTTCAAAAGTTGTTTTTTTTTTTACACAGTGTTACCGTACAACTAGTTTTTTTCTGGTTCTGCTCACTTTTTTTTTTTTGGTTAGGCAATGGGTTCTCACTTCTGTCTACATCATTTTATACAGGTCTTTTGAATTTTCCCTGAAAT